TATATATATATATTTCTTTCTTCAGTTCTAATCATTGTGACTGGTTTTCGAAACAGTCCCCAGGGTGTCATACAAAAGGGAAGTTAAATCTACTTGGTGACAGCTCTTGTACTCTGTATTCAAACTGATTCAGTCAGAGTGCTGGAAAAAATGCTCTCTTTAGGAATGCCCTGCGGATGCCTTAACAAAATGACAAAGAGCACTGAACCCCAGCCATCAGAAATAGATTTACAATGACTCGTGTTCTTACCAAGACTATAAACTGCTTGTTTGATTTTAAGAAGAATAATTTCTTCGTTTAGCCAGTCTTCACACAAAATAATATGTCTGTTTATCATGGATATACATATTCCTCTCTCAGAAAACATGTTATTCCTATTCTGTTTTCCATGTATGTATATATTGGCTTCTCTTGTCAGCTCTTTATTTTAATGCCACACTGACTTGCCCAACATAATTTGCCCTTAAACTACTCTCTGGACAGTATACATTTCATACTAGAAGGCTTGTGTGGGCTTCTCTCTTCCTTTGACACTTTAAATCTCGCTCATTTTGTTTCTGTTTCCTGAAAAGCGCATCTGAAAGCACAAGGGCCCTCCGATGATGCAATTGGGTATACGGTTGAACAGTTTCCAAAACAGCTTTTGTGGAGAGGGAAATAGGAAAATGACTTATGGAAACAGGACACAAGTGCATTCCACATCTCACTGTGTGTGTTTACTTCATGGTGTGTGTGAGAGTGTGTTCTGTCACGCGTTGCTAGTGTGGTGGAGGGCACCATGGATCAGTAGTCAGACAGACTACGTCTTGGCACACTAGCCATTGGTCCATCTGATCACTAAATAAAAATCTATTGAGAAGATCATAACAATAACTTTTTTTTTTTCCACTGTCTTCAAAACCTTCTAGTTACCTGTAGAATCTACTATTTAAATAAACCCTCATTACAGTATTTATGAGCCAAATTGACTGACTTAGTCTGCTGACATTTCCCACCATCCCATTTGCAGTCTCAAATAGTACAATCCGTGGCCAGTTTATTTGGTACGCCTAGGTAAAACTAATGCAGTCTAATGTAACAGTCTTGAAATGCGATAAATCCTACCTTCATCCTCTTTGCTGAACATTTCAAATTGTATCTGGAAAGACATAAACACAGCTGTATCAAGCAACATAAAACCGTTTTATTCAGTCCAATTTGTCCTCTTCCATATAATAGTGAAATAAGATCTTGAGTCAAATATTTCCCACATACAGTAGGAAATAATAAATATGCAGCAAATGATTCCTTTAAAGGATTAAAGCATACATACTTCAGATGGCTTCCAATCAGTGTGAACTAAACATCCTGCATGTCTTGATATGTAGCTAAAGTAATGAATGCCGCTTTTGCAGATGCTTCCCTTCAAAGTGACTCACTGTTGCTGCAGGAGTCATACAGCCATTGTTTGAGCACAGTTAAATTGAATGTTGACATTATACCTTACAATGAACACTGGAAACCCACTTAATCATGACATAATTCTCTAGTGCCGCCAATCATCCTGACAGGTCAGTCATTTAGCACAGTAGAGGAAATACTGGATATTTAAGTGGCTAATTATGCAAAAAGAGCAACCACAAGGATATTTTATTTTTTTCATTTTACTCCTCTAGCCTTTCTTTGTACAAGAAGTTTCCCGATGTAATCACCAATAACTCTACAGTAAAACAATCTCATCATAAACGACAAATGTTGCACAAAGACTTTTTACACTAAAAAACAAAGCGAAGAATCAGCGTACAAAAATGGATTGGGCAAGAAAGTCACTGAAACTGCAACATGGAGTATAATAACTGCATTTAAAAGGAATAGCTGGAAGTGCTGGAAAATGGACTCTTTGGTGCCTCCAACGGTTAAGCAGTAACATGAAGTGAAATGTCTTTGTAGCTTAATGTGTGTCATTAACTTCGTGAACTTGCAGCCAATGGAACAGGCCCCTCACAACAGTGCAAGCCCAGATTAGGCCATACATCAGAGAGCGTTGGAGAGCGGATCTCTTTCAGTCCCCACTAATCGCATTGAGCAACTCTCTCTCTCTTTCGCGTGCGCCCACTGCCCCCTCTCTTTCTCTCCAGTCTGTATCTGCTGATCCCTCTGCACAGTCCAGAAGAGAGCTCTCTTTGTGCCGGTGCTGGCAGGCAAACAGAAGCAGAGAGATGGATATGGCTGAGAGTGACCTGATTCTGCCTCAGTGCCTGGCCTCTGTCCAAATACAGAGACTCTGCTCTCCTGTCCCTCTGTCTTTAGGGAGGAACCCCAGTCTTTCTCCTCTGTTGCTACACTGCAGGACGCTGGCTCAAATACCTACCAGACCTGAGCAAGAATTGAGTTTGTAGAGTCATTTAAGTTGTTTGTCAATGTTAAATCTAGTAGTTGTTCTAATTGTGCTCGAATGTTCAGATGCAACAAATGGTATCCATATAAGTAATAATTTATTTAAATCGTATATCTATGGCATGGAGGAGTTTGCAGGCATTGTGCATCATTCAATGTTTTCTTTGCTTTTCCACTTAAATTTAATAAGGGAAAAATAATAGTCAGGAGGTAAATGCCCAAATAATCTTATTCAAGACTAATGTGTAGGAATCACTGGCATTCAGCGGTGAAGGTGGAGATTGCAACCAACTGAATACAGCTCACCCATCCAAGTGTGTCGGAGAAACTACGGTGTGTGTGAAACTCGTGGAAGATTCCATATATGAGGTCCCACTCCCTCCCACCTTATTCTAAGGGGAGAAAAAAAAACATTTCTTATTTTCAGGTGATAAAATATACCTATGAATATTATATTCCATTTCTGCCAATAGATCATCCTAAATGTTACACACTGTACCCTTTTAAAGGACAGCAATCCTATGTGGTATACAATTAATCTATTTGCGTGAGCAGTTGGCGCCACTTGTATATTTCGTTCTTAATTGCTAATATCTTAGAACATTTTGTTGAGCCCTACAATGGTTCATAATTTGTGTCTGTACAGGGGTTAATCAAATCAAATCTGTGCATACAAGTGTCTCATGAATGTTTTCTTTTAATTCTTTCAATTGAAAGACGGAGAGAAAAGAAGATGACAAATCTTCCTCAAGGTCTACCTACAGTCAGTGTTTGCCAATGCTTGGACAACTTCTGAAGCAATGGCCAATGGAAGTTAAGACAGATGGGTTGATAGAAAGAGAAACAACAAATAGTAACCCTCTGAGTTTGAAAATGCATTAATGAGATGGGTTGAGAGAAAGAAAAGGGGGCATAAAATGTGATAGAAGCAGTGACAGCAGTGTCTTATTGGCAGGCAGTGTCAAAGGGTTTATTATTATTTGGTATTCTGACTAGAGACGTCTTTGGCATCACAACTACAAATGTCATGTTTTGGTGGTGGCGTAATGAAAATGTGTTTGCTTCCTGAAAGGGGGTGACAGACAGAAAGTATATTTCATTAGATTGCAGAATGCGGGACAGAGATGGTGGCAGTGATTGGCAACCAGCAGAAATAATATAGCATGTCAGTGACAAGAAATGAAAACACACACACACAGACACATTTGTACACATATGAAACCCTCCTCTTCTTAGACATGCATCACCCCTCACTTACACAGACCCACAAACGTGTTGACAGACACCGACAGATAATGTGAATTGATTTTTTAATGATGAAAACCACTTTTACTTTTTGGTGAAAGTGATTAATCTTGGGAGAAATGGCTGTACCTTTTATCTTTTGAGGTGACATTTAATCATCAAGGCCCCAAATACTCCAAAGTACTCCATTTTCCTTGTGATTGACCCTGTTAACCTTTGAACCCTGGGATGATTAGGCTCTTTTATAACTGATGGTAACACAGAGAGGGTTTATCTTTCTGTTTCAAAAGCAAGGTGGAAAAAACAGCTTTACTGTTGACTGGAGAAAACATGCATTAAGTGGACACTGGTTGAGATCAGTGTTGGCTTGTCATTACATCAGAACGGAAGAGGAATTGTGTTGTTTATGAATGGTTGTCTCAGAAAGGAAGGTAGAGTAACATTGAGAAAGCAGAGTAATATTTCACTGTGATTTCATAGAGTGACCCTGACTCCAGAGCACCATTAATCTAGCGGAGAGCCACCACACGACTTGTAGGACAGAGAGCACATTCTTGACAACAGCTCCTTCTGAAAAGGTCGGGGTGGGAGGGAGTGGCGGAGGGAGGAAAGGAGAAGATAGGGAATTGGAGGAAAAATTGTCCACTTTAATATGTTTTTGTTGTGCACAAATATTCCTCTTTGTTTACTCTCTTTGGCATCTCAGTCTCATTGTTATCTATCATCTTGCTCTGACTCCTTTTCGTCCTCATCTCAACCCTCTAACCATATGACACGATCTTGACCCAAATTCAGGTCATCTCTATCGATCACCGCTTCATATAACCCCCATGTTATAGCCTAAAGCTCATTGTGGCCTAGACCAGCCATGTTCCATTTGTCTAATGAAAGCAGACCTCATATTTCCTCTGTGGCTCAGTGTAAGGCTTCTGATGATGATGGTCTTTAGTGAAAGGTTGTGAGGAGACACTTGGTGCTTGCGAGATTGATCGAGAGCCCAGGGGGTGCACTTCCTGGAGGGGGAAAAAAGAAAAAAAAAGACATCAACTAAAAGGCCCTCTGCCCCCCCAGAGCATCCCACCTCTGACAGCTCAAACCACTAGGCAAGTGTAGATTTGAAATGGTTCGATAGGTTTTAAGCAGAGATCTTATCGGTGCATGTTCACCTTTTTCTTCTGAAGCTCAGACTTTTTGGTTCCATAGTAAGAGATTCCAGTGTAAAGCCCAGGTTATTTTCCAGCTTAAAAAAGCTTATAATTAGCTAGTATGAACCGGTGTGTGTCCAATCATTCATATCAGACCAGTGCTGTTCATGTATTAAAAGGGCTTCATTTGAACATCAAAATCAGTCAATAAGCCAATTGCTTTTTATCAAGTCATAACTGTAACATTAGTATTTCATAACTCACACTATCTCATCTTACTACTGACGTTTTCTATGCATTTTCCAAGAAAGTAAAGGAAGTGTCTACTGCACAGGCATTCCCCCCTACAGCAGCCCTCCACATTGCTAAGCTATTAATCAAGAGCAATGCCTGCTTCAGTCCTAAACCCAGTGTTTCAAATCTATCCATACACACAGAATAATGACCATCCACAGCACCATTATTCTCTTATCAAAACCCATAAGTCATTCTGCCCACAGTGACTGGTATAAATATCTGCCCGGCAGGATAAAATACTTGCATGCAAACACAAAATGCAGAGAGGTACAAAACATGAAACACACACATCTGTATTTAATCAAAAATCACAGCAGCATGTCCACAAGAAAGCATAACAGATGAACCTCCATCAGGAGTTGTATTAGAGTCTCCCAACTCTAATACCATTTTTATATGCATTGCGGTGATTTGCCTCAGTGTGACTATGCAGCACTTTTTTATTTTTTTATTTCACTCGGTTCACTTTGAATCATTTCACATTGAATATCTTGCCGCACTGGCATTTCTGCAGTTGCTGTTGCATGGGGTGGACGGTGGGGAATTGTGCCTGACAGAGCAGCCTCTGGCGCTATTACAGAGCTAGCGCCTGACTGCAGTCTTCTTCCATCTTCATCTCTCTCTTACTTGTTCCCACATTTGCCGTTTATTGCATGTGGACCAGCAGACGCACACAAGCATAGAAATACTCTTTCTCTCACAAAGTGTTTCTGCCCTGTCTCTATCCATATCTATCCCTGTATAAAAATACACTCAAACACAAAATATTGATTCATATTTTCATTAATCTTGATCTTGTTTTTTTGCTGTTTATCAGGTAAGTTGTGTTAACCATACTCAATACTGCTACCGGACTGTGGCATGTAGCTATATCCAAAAGCAAGAATTCATGAAGTGTCAGCCTAAGCAATTCCCTAATCTATAGTCAGAAACATTTCTATTTCCAGTATTGTACTAATCTCTCCTCCTTCCTCTGCTGCAGCTCTTGACCATTGACGACGACTTCTGTGGCCTCGACATGAATGCGCCGTTGGGCGTGTCTGAGATGGTGCGTGGCAAGCCTCTCTTCTCCGACGCTGTTGACAAAATGACCTCTGTCATTGCCTACGTCTACAAGAACCACTCGCTGGTCTTCGTAGGCACAAAAAGCGGACGAGTTAAGAAGGTAAGGAGCAGGAATATAGGATGAGGGGTAGCAGAGATGGCTGAATTGATGAAGAGAGATTTGGTTTCTCTCTTTTAGAATGTGGAGTAAGAGCTGGGAATTGGGGACTGCTGGATTGGAGGAAGGATAGTAGTAGTAGTAAGGCAGATTGACTTTCAGGCAAATAAGCTGAGTTGGTTGTATTTGCAGCAGGAAGAGGTGTGAGTGTGCATGAAAGAGAGGGATAGTGGAAGTGTGTATACTTCACTGTGGAGAGAATTTGTGTGTGTGTGTGTGTGTTTTGAGGAAGGGGGGGATCAGGAGAACCCCTGAGGGGGTTTTATTTCTAGAGCAAAGCCTATCTGGTATCTCTCAACATCCTCCTCATCCACTGCACCATATATCACACATACGCTTGTATACACCAGTATCAGGAGTATCCGCTGTACTTTTCCTTCACTTTGGACTTGTAGAAAATCCAGAGCCCTGGGGGCAGATTGTAGCTCACATCAGCATGTTGCAGAACTTGCTAGACAGCACAGATCAGCATGTTGCAGAATCGATTAGACAAAGTTTCTTATCAGTTTCTTGAGGCAAATTGAGGAATCCGAACAGGATTAAATACATCATTTATTAAGATATTTGCTTAGCTACAGCTGCTAGATTATTACATTATTAAGAAGTGGGCTCTAATGGCTTTGACATTCCCGTAAACCTGTGGAATTCTTTTTGCAGCTGGGAGTGACACCCATAGTGAACATCTTTGACCATTAATATCTATCCCTTGAAAAACATGTCAAATTATGTGTGACCGCAAAGGCCTTGGCTAAACAAGATTTGTCCCCTCAGAGTTGAACAGCACTGGATAAGCTGGGTTTTGGCGTGTTGTGGCTTCCACCTTAGACTTTCCTCATGCCCCTGTGCCCTCCCCCGTGTGGCAGCCCTTTTCTGGGCTAATGGGATGATGCACTGCTGCTAGGTGTGATAGAAGGGTCGTAGCTCCTGTGCTTTTTCTCTTGCTTTCTCCTACTTACACACACGCACAGCACAGGGCCATGACTGAGACCAATTGTGGGGTGGCTAGGCAAGTGAGCCTCGCAGGCCTGGGAAAACAGCATTACCACAGAGGGAAGGAAAGAGAGAAGGATGGAGTGAGTGAGGGAAGCAGAGGAAGGTTGAGCTGGATGAGAGAGATTGGACAGAGATGGACTATATTCCTGAAATGCATGTCTTTAAAGGAGAAAGACTGGTTGTTTGTATGTGGATGGTTGGAGGGATGTAAAACACAAATACAGAATGGAGAAAGTTAAGCAAAGAAGCGATTGAGGCCAGAACAAGCACCCAATGTCAAGAGGTGTTTTTCTACTGATCCACAGGCAGGCTGGAGTGCCGGTTTTTACATTGTTTGTTTTTGTTGATTATGGGCCCCTGCCTGTGTTTGTTGTTTTTGTTCCGCACAGGAGCAAAGTGGTTGAGGCAGCGGTTTTCCATTTTGTAAGACAATAACCAACATGTAGGCAGATGCTTCAAACAGGGGAAATCTGTAATCATATTTAATACCTACTGCTCAGCTGTGATGGTGAGTGCCAGTTAGGGAGGGGGAATTTAGTGGCTTGGAGTTTTAAAAGCATTTCAAGTTGTTTTCAGGGTTTTCTGAATATTGTTTTTGCTTCAGGATGTTTGAAACATTTTATTTTTTTCTTCGTGCTTTTCTTCTTTTTCCCCTTGGCCTTTCTACAGACATCCCTCAACAAACCACATATTGGCACTTGAGAGAATTGTGTTTGCTGGATTTTGGCATTGTTCTCATTCAAAGTCAACATGAATGAAGATCAGGTTGTGCACAAATGATATATTCAGGCAAAGAAACCCCACAAACCCATACCGTCTTTGACAAAAAGTGATCAATATCCTGAGTCAACAAAGGTACACACATGCACACACAGCCCCATTACAACCCAATCCTCCCCTCCCATGTACATACTTCCCCTCCCCCGTCGTTAACTGTATACCATTAGATGACATCACAGGCAATAAAAGACAACAACAAGACAATAAAAGGTCTGAGCTTCAGTCCACCTCCTTCATCAGTGACTTTATAACCCTGCAGCTAATGGATGTTGATTTATATACACTCCTCCACCTTACTTGTTCTGTCCCTCAAGCCCCCTCCTCCTCCTTTCTCTCACTTCTTCTCCCACTCACTCTATTCCACTCTTTCTGTTTTTTTTCTGTGTTATTTATGACCCTGTGACGAACACGTCACCCTAAATAAATATAAGCATTACGGTAAAAGAGAGTGGATGGACTTTAATGCAATAGTGTGTGTATTGAGTTAAATGTTAGTGTTTACAGGCTCACGTTTATGGCATCATGAAGTTGAGCTGGACAGGAAGCTGAGTGAATTAAATTAAATTTGCTTGTGAAATTGCTTTATGTTATGGGGGTGAGAGTAAAATTTAGCTAGTATAACGCGAGGCCTGTGGACCAGACTACAGACATGATTGTACTTCTATACTGATGAGGACATTAACATAATCCGTTCTCCAGCCCCTAAAGCTAACCCTAACTATCACAACTACATGCTTAACCTTAACTTCAACCTAAACTACAGATCAGCTTGAGCTGTCGAACGATATACGAGATGGCATCAGATAAAGACTTTGGCGATTAGGCCATTAACTTGAATTAAATTGAGTATCTTAATGTAATGTAGGCCCATGAAGTTGTAAAGGATTGTATAGTTGTTCTGAAAGATGAGCAGAACGATGTTCCTGTGGGCGCGGGACGGCCAAAGTGACTGGAAAGAAAGGTAGGCCCAGGAAGAAAACACGGAAATTCACCAATAGAGAACTAAAGGCAAAACACCAGAGAGATCTTTTTATATTGAACTTTCACCAATGCTTTTTTTTTTTTAAAGCAAGTCTTTACTCTCAAACAGTCCTTTGAAAAAATAAAGACCAGACA